CCCATGCTCCTGTTGGGGGCTAAGAACACGCTTATCTCCCTGAGCATGGCCTTCATAAGTCCATTCCATCACAGTTTCCCCACAAGCACAATGCCCCCTGCCTTTTTGCTGATGTTTTCTTCCTTTCCTGCATGCATTCTGTTATGCCAGGCCCAGCACTCCAGGCTTTGCTCTTGTTTCCCAACCTCACTCACATCTTCTAAAATTCTTTTTTGCAGCAACGTTCGACAGTGGCCTCAATGATGCACAGGCAGGAGACTGTAGAGTGTCTGAAAAAGTTCAATGCAAGAAGGAAGCTCAAGGTAAGATTCAGAGTGATTTAAGGGGGGAAATGCATGAGGACTTTCCATGCAGAATCTCTCTTGCGGGTTCTGTAACTGAAATGGTTTTGTCTCTGTCTTTAGAATGCTACTTTCTTCCATGCCAAGCCAAGCAGTTTCTCTTCTCTAGTTTGACCATTCATAATCTTTATTCCTTGTTCCTTGTATATTCCTTGAAACTTGGTATGTAGTCTCTCTCCTTTTTCATTCTCAGTGGTTTTACCATTCTCTTCAAAATTAAAAGTAACATAATCTAACATGAATTTACCTCTTTTGTCCCTTTCCTTTAGTATATGAAGCTGACGTTTCCTAATTCTCTGTATCTTGTTCTGAACTGTTTTAACTTCTTTTCTGTAGGCTTACAACTTTTCCCTTTCATATTTTCTGTTATCATTTTTCTTCAGTTTTGACCTTCTCAGTCATTTTATCTGTAATCATAACTTCCATTTCTGGCCTTCCATATTTTGTTCAATTTAGATTTTGTCTCTTACAGTTCACTGAAGCTTCTGTTCAATTTCTCTTGACTCTTCCTGTCTCTTCACTGCCCTTCCTTGCCCTGATTTTTCTTCCTCCATTGCCTTCAGCATGATCACTTTCTCAACTTCTCTACTCCTTTGGTTTCTGTGACGTCTTCACCTTTTTGGGTTGCTGTTCTTAAGATCTGTCATACCCAATCATATTTCCATCCCTGACATATCCAGTATATCTAGTTGTGTCTATATGTTTCTTTCTGCCATTTCTCCTTATTGAAATCTAAAAATATTGACATGATCTCACCCTGTCCTTCTTCCTGTTAAAACTTTTCTAAAAATTACCAGTTCTTTCAGAATGTACTGTTAAAATTCAGGGCTTGTGACACTCTTTTGCTAATTTACCTTCCCCCTTTTTCATTCATGTACTTTATTACCTTAAGTGGGGGGCTTTTTTATTTTTTTCCCTATGGGAAATGTTCAGGCCCCCAGAATAGCATTTATAAAAGTAAAAGTGATAAGATAAAAAGTACTGGCTCCTCTGTCTTTCTGACCACTCTAGTCACTATGTACCTTTTGTTAAAGCCTGAATGAAACACTGGAAAATTCCTGATTGGCTTTTTAGTTAGGATGGGGTTGGACAACCTTTTCTTCTGCCATATAAGCCATTAATCCATGGGGTTGTGAGAGTACCCACTGGGACCAAAAACAAGTATTAATGAACTGGTTAATTGCATTATGACTTCATAGTTGACTTATGGTAAACACTAATGAAAATATTATAATTCTTAGAAAAATAACAGAAATAATGCCATGTTCTGAATCATGACACCTCAAATTGGGTTTCTGGAGATAGTACCAATGTTTAAAAAAGCAAACATAGCTATACTGGTCCTTTATACTGAGCTGCTATTAGGACCAACCAAAGTAACCCAGAAGAATGTGCAAGATTCCAAATGCTCCAGAACTTTTTATCAGGAAGTTGTAGTGAAAACAGAGGATAGAGAATAAAATGTCAAGAAAATAAAACTTTAGGTCAGTTGTTTCACCCCTGATTTGCAGCTCAAAGCCAGTCTCAGTACAGAAAGAGTAGATCGAATGCATTGGTTAATAGTTGGTGTTATTGATGCTAGGTTGCATCTAGCTTGTAGAGACACCTCCTGCCTCAAAAATGTGTTTACTGCCACACCTTTACTCTGAAAACACAAAGACCTTAACCCCTATCTCTCTTCGCCCTACCAGAGCAAGCAGATGATAGACAAACAGATAGACAGTAGCATGTCACTATCTGTGTGAGAAAGGCAGTGAAGACTCAAGCTGTGATTTCTCTCAGAGCATGTTTCCATCAGAGCAGGAAGGACTAGGGCTGGGGTGGAAAAGGTAAGATTTTCTCTGTAATAGGTTGAAGATGCAGGAGGTTCTTGGAAATGTCCATAGAGCAGATTAAACTAAATGAAGGAGGAATATACATCCTCTGAGCTGGAAATTGCCTATTCATGGCTTAGGAAGTAATGTCCATGTGATGGTCCCACCAGTATGTTTTTGCTCTATACAGTATATTCATATGCTGGGAAACCACAGCCAAGCAGCCTTCCTAACATGACCTTTGGCACACATGATAAAGCCGAGGTGAAGTTCATGGAACATTTATGTTAGCAAGGGAAGTTGCCTACAGTCTCTGCTTTGATTCCTTGCTCATTTAAAAATCAAATTAAAACTCTTTGCCTCTGCTTTGGATGAGAAAGACATTAGTGAGGCAAATAAAAATGATTATCCTTTAGGACACGCTAGAGATCATTTTGAAATTTGCCCCAAAGTTTAGACATCTGTTTCTTTTCTAAGAGCAGCCTATTTCTCATTACAATGCACTCATTACCTAATAATTCCCTGTCTGTTACACATTGTTTCACCTATACCCTATCGCACTGTATTAGAAAAGTAAAAGTGAAATAGTATTACAATGGACAGCTTAGGGCACAAGCATTTATCTTCTGTACATTCTCCAGGCCTCGTACTAATTATCTGATTTATTTGACAAGATGTCTTTAACCTTCCAAGCATGGCAAAGGTTAGGTATAATGAAAAGAAATGGAATTATTTCATTTTTGCCCAATAGCACGTTATCTACACTAATCTTTTCCGGAAAGATTTTAATGTTAATCAACAATCCACTTCAGAAAATCTTCATTAAATCAGTAGTTCTTTTTCATCTATTCTCCAATGACTCAACAAGTTCTAGCAGCATCTAAGTTTGCATTCATTATCTCCGTTTCTTTAGTCACTAACCCTTCCACAAGACAGAGGCAACAGCCAGCCTGTACTGTCTTCTTAATACTCGTTTGCTTTTCTGTTTGGAACTCGCTATTTCAGGGACAGTGTCCTTTTGTAAGCGGAAAGCAGCTGGGATAATGAAAAAAACAAAAGGCAGAATATTGGTTAGTATGTTGAATTTGGACCACAGTTTGAGCCACCATTTCCTGTGAAGTTCAACAGGTAATTTTAGGCAGATAGTACTCCTATCTCAGCTTGACTTCACTCAGAGACCTATTATGAAGATAATAACCCTTTTGTGGTTAGAGGGATGGATAGGGGTGAGAAATTAATAATAGATTACAACCCCTTTTGAGACCCTGTGTGGACCTGAAAGAGTGCCACTGTGAAAAACGTGGACATTTTTATTGGATATAGGGACACATTAAAATGCAAATATGATGTCCACTGACATACCAACATAACTGTTGAGATTCACTGTCATCCTTTGAGATCTGAACAGTTCCTAGCACAGAATTTTATACTGAATCAGAAACATCTCCAAAGGATACAGTAGATTAAACCACACATCTTCACACAGGTCTATAGGAAATGGAGATATAGAAAATAGAAAACGATTCTTACCCATTCGATGCATGGTTTATTCTGTGTTTATGCAAGACATATTCTATTCTTCTTTTTTTCGTTTGTGTTTAAAATTCTCTCAAGAATGTCCTTTATTTACTTTATTCTGCTTTCTTCCTTTTAGGGTGCCATTCTTACCACTATGTTGGCAACAAGAAACTTTTCAGGTGAGAGCTTTGCTTTGCTTAATGACAAGCAAAACATAAAATTACACTTCAGTCCCTTCCGTTCCTCCTTTAATTAGAATAAAGCAAGCAATCCAAAAGAAATTCTTCTAAACCACTATTATTTAACCTCAGCCTTGGGATGTGACATTCATCCCTTTTCTCTTACTACACTGCGTTCTTTGGCATGGCAGTATTACCATCAGAAAAGTTAAACCGGGACCAGAAATAGAACCCAACATTAATTTATTTTTGCCGAAAGGGTGTCATCTGTGCATTGAAAAGGCAGCAAAAAAGCTGGCCATGAAGGCCATCCAACAAGCTTCCTTCATAAGCCCTGCCAAACCTCCCGTGGACTATTCTTTCCCCTTACTCTTCTCCTTTCCTTGCCCTTAAAGTCCTTGGATTCATTGCTTTACCACTGGGATACCCAGCCTTGCAGGCTTTCTGTGTGTCTCCTTCTGCCCCCAAACTGCACTCAATTATATTTCTCAAGTGCATCTATACCTTTAGTTATGCAGCTTGATTGCAATTTAATCCTGATTCTGCCCCAGAACTTTCAGGAGTTGCTGTAAACTTTCCCAAGTCTCTTTTCCTCTATCTCTGAAATGGCCCTCTCGCTATTCTAAAACTGTTCTTGGTTTGAGTAGGGCATTATGTTGTTTCTTTATTTTTGTCTGTTGGGGAGGGGGGAGGAAATCTTGATAATGTAGTAGATGGGAGACCTTGAAGGCACACACTTTGGACTATAGCATATTCATTCTTTTAGTTGGTTTTGTTTGGGGGTGCAGAGTTGAAGTGTGCTTTTTCCACCCAGGGAGTCTTAGTTCATAAGGATCATCAGTCCAGGAAACACTTTCTAAAAGAGCAAAATACTTTCATACTATGGGAAATGAGTTGCTTTTCCTGCCAAAACAAGTAAACAAACACATCTGATTTCTAAAAATGAGGGTGTAAGATGGCTGAGTAGATGCCTCAAGCGATAGTCCACCCCTACTGTTGTCTCTCCCTCCTCACTCTCCTGCAGGGCTTCTTTTCCCATCACTGTTCATGGGCCTAATCAAAGCCCTATGAATTTTCCAGCAAACAACAGCACAATCCATTTTCTGCACCTAGAAAACTCCAATTCTGCAGCTAGCAGGGGTTGAAAAGCCTATTAGTTCTAGATAAAGATATATTATGCTAACATCGACAATGAGAGTGTGGTTTATCTAATTCAGGACGCAGGAATTTCTGAGCAAAAACTGGGTGTTGATGGACAAAAGTGACTGGGAAGCTGTGGCATTTTGAAGACATTGAGGAAGAAGAGGGAAGATGGGCAAAGATGTTGAAAGAAGGCATGATCTTCAGCAATTAATAAATAAAATCACAACCGTTTTGTTCTACTCCTAGCCTGTTGCTAGCCGGGGGATTGATGGAATCTCCTGGATTATAGCTGGGGAAGCCACTGGATTCTAATGCCTGCCTGATCCTCCCAGCTGGAAAACAGGTGATGGCTACAATGCACCTGTATTCTGCCATCAGTTTCTTTTACTTCTTCCTAAGTAATTTTATGGTAACTGCCAAATTCCATACACATTTCTGGAATCACAGAATTACAGAGTGAATGGCACCTTTTTCTGGTTTTGAGGCTTTCAAACTTGGCATTTAAGCATTCATTGCTAAGTGATTCATCAGTTAAGAGGTTCAGAATCATAGTGGAGGAAAACTCAGAAGCGGAAAAACGGTTATTACGGTGTTCTAATACATCAGTGGAGCTCAGGAAGCCAACCGCAAAAGTGGTGCATTGCTCACATACTGCATCCCATGATTTAGAAACCTCTAGGAATTCTCAGCCCCAACAGTAAAACTTCTTTAATGTTCTGCACACCTTCCTTGTTCCAGCTGCATTTGCTTAATCCTGGTGCTACTGAAGCCTTTTCCAGGCGCCATGCTTCCCAGGACTCAATAGCAGAAAGAGTACTCTATAGAATCTTCAGAAGTTGTGAGCCTAAACCAGGACACAGGGTTCCCCTACAGTGGATGGGGATCCAGTGCAGAGAAAGAAGATAATGACCCTTGATCTGATGGAAAAGATCCATGGATTGTGTAAAAGTGAATGCACGTTTGCTACCAATAGTCATGTCTCTTCATCTCAACTTTAACTCTAATCTTGTTCTGCTTCCTTTGTCTCCTTTCTTTCCCCTTATTACTTTCCCTCTGCCTTCTCTCTCTCTCTCTCTCTCTCTCTCTCTCTCTCTCTCTCTCTCTCTCTGCCTCTGCCTCTGCCTCTGCCTCTGCTCTTCTCTAACTCTTTCCCCATCCCTTTTCCTACTTGCTGTCCTTTATTTCTTTGTTTTCCAATCTGGTGCTAACAGTGGGCAGACAGACCACCGCTCCTGCCACAATGTCTGCAGCAGCAGCCTCCGGTGCCACCATGGGGTTGGTGGAGCAAGGTAGATGTGTCCGGAAGAGACCCTCCTCACTTTCCCCTTTTTCACGTTGAAATCTTGAGTGCATGTTGTGTCATTCACCCAAAGCACTTCATCCCACCCTGTTTAAGAGTCAGGACTATCCTTTTTACAGCCAAAGAGCAAAAACAGGGCTACCTCTGCAGAAGTGTTTCTGGTTGTGGTGTCAATTCTGTCTCGCTCCATTAAGCCATGGTTAGAAATGATCATGAAAATGTTTTAGGGAGGGACCTATGTGATTGAAATCAACTAATGTGAAAGTCTCAAGTCAGCAGTCTCAGGCCAGAGTATAAAGCAGGATGACAGTGCAGACCATGAACAGAAAAGGAAATGCATGATTTGCAGGCTAGGTGATGGTGTTGCTAGAGGATAAGGGTTTGGTGGGTGGATGTTATTGTAGCATATTTTGCAAATATATTATCTTTCCAAATATTAACAAATACTACTGAGGCTATTACTCTAACAACAAATATCCAGTGGATGCTAAATAGAACAGGGAAACAATGAAGAACAATGGCAGTCTTAATAGAAGGAGAGATGGTGACTGTCTGGTGGATGCATCTAATTGTCATTTGGTTCACCCCCCCCCCTCCTTAACTTTCATTATTTGTGAGGTGTTTGGTGAGATTGTGAGGTGCTGCATGTGATTTCTCACCAAGAAACTCTAAGTTACTCTTTATGACTGAAACTAAACAGTCTATCTTTGGGGATACCCCCATTCTATTTTAATTTTGTGCATGCATGCTTT